AAAAAAACTTAGAAAATGACACAGCGAACTCCTCTTCGTGACGGGTGAGATAAGGTCGTGTGGTGGAAAGTTAGACGTATGAATGGCTTATCAGTGCAATTGTGTCCACAGTTTATTTAGTATGGACACAGGCTCCTATTTTTACTCGGAAGAGGATGATCTACGCTCTTGGTCGTACTCCAAGCACTTAGTGGAGCAGGAGAGACAGGAACACATCAAACGGCTTAGGGAACAAGGAATTATTGTCCCGGAGGAAGAACTCGTGGAAGAAAAGGGTGAGTCATTTTTATTTTGTTATAATTCGTTTCCATGCTTTTTGTTTTGATAAAAAAGATTTTTTTGCACTCTCGTGTGTCAGATAAGTTTGATTCAACCCTGGCAGAAGTCATCATCAGAGTCAAGTGAAGAGTTGTTGTCAATTGAGTATTATAAGTCCAGTTCTCTGGTGGTGACTTCTGTTACGGTGGTCGAAACGTCATTTACCAGTACAAACAGCAATCCTTCTCAGGAATAACCTCACCTACACTCTCCTACTTCACGCGTAGATGATACTCCTGGGTTTTTTTTTACTCCTGGTGTTTTGTTAAATTATGAGGCCACACTGGTCTTTGAATCTTGTAGCGTCCAAGTTGAATTTGGAGACGCGAAGAGGGCCTGTGTTTGACTAAACATGACATCGTTGTTTTCATTAACCAGTGAGTATTACTCCCTTAGAAGATTGTTTTTCTTTCTGTTTCTCGTTGCAGAGGAGACGAAAAGTCGTCGCTCTCGCGTCTCCATGACAAAGTCCTCCACTTTTGGCAAGAAAGGTACAGATAATTAATTTTCTGATTCAAACCTCTCCATGTTTGCTGCTCAAGTAGAGCTTCCAGTCTGAGCTGATATAAGCATTGGATAGTGATATCATTATTTATTTCTCTCATTTTTTATCGTAGTTCATGACACAGCCAGTGACAAGAAAAGCAGTGAAGGTGAGCTTCATTGTAGTGCAGTACATGCAGTGTTTGTTCAAGCCTACCAAGACGATGAATTCATTGTCATCTGGGGCGTAGGCATAAACGCCCCCAAGGAGGCATAAACACAGATGGCAGCCTTAGGTTGAGTGTTCTTTTCCCTGGCGCTTGCCACACATCCTTTGCCCCTATCGTTTTGCTAAAAAATTTTTAAATAAAGGCTTCATTGTTGATTGTTTGATGTCAAGTAGTTGCTTTGTACTGCTTGTGGCCGTCAGCGTCTAAAAATCGTCTTTGGTTTAGCTCCCTCTCCTTACATTTAGGAGAAATACCACTCAAAGTAAATTTTCGAGAAATCCTCGATCCCCAAAACAGAAACTTACCCTCACAGAAGCACTTCTTTGAATTCAACAAATCATTTATTTTAGGATCTTCGAGGAGACTTCAAGCAAAGCTCGGAAACCGTAAAAAGCACACACATGGTCAGATGTCTCCGTCATTAGCTAGGCGTGGCTCTGCCGTGTCTACAGTTGTGTCAATAACGCGCCGTAATTCTGGCGTGTCGCTTGCACTGTCACGCAAGGATGAAAAAATGAGTGTGGCAACAGTAAGTAAAGATGACAAAGGTGTCGAAAAAGGAGAAGAAAAAGTCACTGTCCTAAAGGATACGCAAGAGGAAAAGATAAATCAAGGAAAAAGCTCTGAGATTCAAGTGATCCATATCGCCTCTCCAGAAACACCACAACCTCATAACGAAGGTAAATTGTTACCGCAGCGATCACGCAGTTCTAGGCGACTTCTACCAGGAAAACAGCCACCGAAATCCGCTGGAAAGAAACGCGTTCCCTTAGATGCTATTTCGTGTATTAGTGACTACAGTGTTTTAAGTAATATTGAGTTTCAGCCTCGTGTGACGCCGTTAGGGAAAGATGGTCAACAGGGAGGAACCTCTCTACTTACGTCCAAATCTCTCAAGGACTTCACAAACTCGCCTGAAGGTAAGGAGCTTTGTTGGAAGCACTGTCTAAGCCCCGGTGCGGTTACGAAGGACCTGAACCAACTTTGTAACCAAGCTCTTTTGAAAGAGGCTTTTCATCCCCTAGTGGTAATGAATTAGAATTTGGATTATGTTGGTGTTTGTAAAGAAGGCTATAGAGGGTCTTCAGGGATGGGTTAATGGTCCATGATTACGCTGGAGGGAGGAAGGGATCTTGGCGGTAACCTTTCCAACTAATCAGAAAATATCAGCTGCATGCATTGTGTTGCTGCGATAAATTCTCCTCCAAGGAATCGATCAAATTTTCTACACTTTCTATCGTTACAGGAGCTCAACTCTCGATGCCTTTACCGCTGGTCAGAATCACGTCAGCATCTCATCTTGAAAAGTCGGACACCGACGGCTCAATCGGAGATTCATCGCCATTGTACTACAAACCACGTCCGATGACCCAGAGCCTCAAGAAATCGTCCACCAGGCCGGGAAGGAGAAAGGGCCTGGGACTCACTAAAGAAGAAATGCAGATCAAACCGGATGTAATTGTGAACTAACTGAAGAACGTTCTCTCCATTATATTTTTTCTTTTCCCTTTGAAGCTAGTGTGAAATGGATTTTTTCAAACTGAGGTTCATAAGAATCTCATCTTAACTGTGCTAAATTTACGGTACATTCTCGGAAATCGGTCAAAATTATTCGCAGAATGGTCACACAATCGCGTGCGCAACTTGCGTCACGTCGTTTGAATTTCTAGTAAAAAATCGTTATGTATAGAAAAGTTGCTAGATATCTAATGTACATTGAATGTAAAAGTTATTGTATGACATAAAATGTCTCTATTGCGCATGCGACCAGGACCGACGTGTGCGTCAGCACAGGAAAATGTGTCTGATTATTCAATTGCGACCAATCAGATTGGAACACGTTCAGTTGTTAAAAAGAATAGTAATGTTCGTGTTCAGATTCCTCTGTGGCATAGTCATTAATGCAACGAAATAAACCCTATTTAACAATTCCAATTAGTCTAATTTAAAAGCAATATTATTTGCAAATTTTGAGCAGAAAATGACAGAAGGAGTTTTCTTTGTCAGCTGTAATGACAACTTGTGGATGATGGCCACCCTTCGCGAGTTGATCATCGAAGTTGCGTTGTTCATCTTGCTCTATGGCTTTGATATTGGGACAGACATCAGCGTGTTGTTGGAAGCGCAACGAACTTATAACGACTACAGAAGCCTGTTTCAAAATTCAAACGATAGTGCACGCAATGAATCGAAACAAATTGGGTTTTGTTCCAGTGGTCCTTGGAACACAGAAGACTATCAAAGAAACTTAGGGTCTTTTGACAGCACGTTGATAGCAATGAAAGTCTTTCTAACGTTGGCGAGCTTTCTCTTCCTTTTGTATCTGGCTCTTCATATATGGATCATTCATCTCGTTATTGAAGACCCCGATCTAGAAGAACACGAAATCGAAAAGTATATCACGGCAAAATTTGTCTTTGGGTTGACTTGTAGCATGGTTCAAGACATCTCTTTGACCAGTCTCTCCGTTGATTTGTTCGTCAAACGCACCGGACCTAAAGGACTCATTTGTTGGGGATGTTATTACGATGAAACTTGCGTGGATAAGTACATCCTTGGAAAACGTTTCGATCACACAACAACACTTCTCGCCATCAGCCTTACAGCTGTGGTGATTTTGAGCCTTTACAAAGGTTTTGTTATATTCTATCGATGGAGCCGAGTCGACGAATGCCATTGTTACGAAATCCGTGCGTGCGTTTCGTTATTTGTTGGCGGTTGTTTCGCGCTTGTTGTTTTGACTCCGTGTTTGGCGCTGTTCAAGTTCGCGTTCTTCACGCTTCCTTCAGAATCTGAAAATGTGTTCAGTGGCATAACTGATAGACTGTTCATGATCGGTGTTATGATATGGGGTGTTTTCATTGTAATAGCCTTTTGTTGTCCCCTGCTACGTTTATGTCTACGCAAGTCGCGCAAAGCCTGACAAAATGTTTTATGCTTCAGAACTAAAGAGTACAAAATGAGATGAAACCTTGTCCATACCCAGTATAGCTTGTTAATTTTTGTGATTGCATCTATTTTCTTTTGAAGATGAACGGTGAGCCAAGTCGATTCAATGCTTGAGCCAACTAACCTTCAATGGTGCAATTTTAATAAGTATTTTGTTGTACTCGCAAAGGAAGGCGTTTCAATTATTTTATACATTTCAGTCAATAGCCGTGTGTAAGTTCATCAGGTTGCAAACGTCGCAGAAAAGAAATATATCAGCGCTGAAATAGCTACCAAGAAATGAAAATAAAGCAAAAGGAGCTAAAGTAAACTATCTGACGGATCTTTAATTGAGCCTTTTTTTTCAACCCTGATTGTACACCCTCCAACTTATTATTGAGTATATTCATGGTTTTAATCAAATTAAATTTGGAAATATTTTTAAAAAAACTCCTTATTACAAATCCCAGACAATGAAACACGTTAGAACTCTTTGGATCAATACCGTTAAACTTACGCAAAATGACACGAGAAGGAAACTGAAGGCGAGTGAATGCAAACTAACATGTAAATTATTTTTGATTGCTACCTAGGAGAGAGAAACCAGAATGAAACATTTTATTGCCTTAACACATTTTCGGCAATGAAGAACAATGGATTTGTTTTGAAAATTTACATGGCGAAGATAAGAGTGTTATTTCACGAATAAAATCTAGCACTTTTTTGAAACAATTTAAAAGTTTTCAAGGAAATCGATAATTGTTTTAAAATCTGCAATCAGCCATGCAGTTACAATTTCATGGTTATGAAAACGTGACCAAGAATTGTGATTAAAATAATGTTAAAAAAGCTTAGTATCATTCATATGTAAAAACATCCTTGAGCCTTCCCCCTAAAATGTTTCGTTTCCAAGGTAACAAACTTCCCATTTGTGACAATGTGTCAATCAGTCAGACAATAAATAAGGAAGGAGAAAGAAAAGAAAGTCTTTGAGCGAGGGAACCTAATAATTATTTGCTTCACCCAGACATCTGTAACAATTAATGTACTGGCAGGGAGGTCAGGAAAAAGGCTTTTGAATCAGGGCAAAGTATTTCCATCTGCAGTCAGACAAAATTTAGGATTAAATCTTATGAACGCTTGACGTTTAGCACGTGCGGAAGAGCACCTGGATTTTTTTTTATTTTTTTCACAAGAGGAAGGGCAAAGTTACTTCAAATAATCAGAATTACCACAGTCAGCTAGGAGCAGGTCGCTAATCTCGTACCCAGATCCTACCGTTAAACTGTATCTGAAATGTAGTTTCCTTTCCACCGTTTGGCCGTTAAAGGTCTGGTTACAAGACCAGCCGGTCTCCTAAATAGAAATAGAGAGGGTGAGGGTATGCGGAAATCTAGCTGCCCTTCCCCCCAAAAACCCATTTTTCCTTCACCTGATGGAAAGGAACGGTCACAAAAGTAATTCTCCATTTTCCAGCTGAAAATCGTCTTCACTGATCGACCTCAATGGACTAAAAAAACATCCTTACCTACATATATTAGATTCCAGGTCATGTCGGGTCATTTAGCGATATGTATTCACATTAGAAGAAAAGGAGTCTGGAAAAATACTAATGACACACAAAAATATTTTGAACACTAGAAAAAAATAACTATCTTGATATAAAAAGGGTAGAATTGGGAATAGACTGGGGGACTATGGTTGTTCAGAACGTACGTGACCGTGCGTGATGGTTGATTTGCAATGCCTGAAAAGTAAAGTTTCAGAGAGTCTACTGCGTCAAATTTCTTTTCAAGAAGAGAAAGCTCCCAGACAGAAAAAAAGGTTTAACACTGGTAAAAGGTTATTCATTTGGGAAACAGAAATCTAAAATCTAAATTTATATCGATGAGCAGCGGAAAAGGAAAATAAGGAATATCCTGGGAATTTTTCTTTCCTTGCTCTCAAGGTTAAGTATATGTCTATGATTGATGAATAAATCCAAATAGTAAATATCTCTTTGTTTAATTCCTATCAGGGGTGTGTTGTATCAACACGAAGTTTGATTTTCTTGCCAAAATTAAAGTGAGTTTAAAATGGCAAAACGCAACAAGGTTCTTATCGCGAAAACAACATGTTGATGTTTTTTAGAGCCGTGGACCTGTATTTAAAGGGGCTTTTAACGCTAACACCGAAGATATAGGGGTGACACGAAATTTTAATAGTACTCCTGAGGCCAGATCTGCTTAGTTAATTCAAATGTCAATCTTTACTGCTGATGAGACTAGTTATTCTCATCGACTGTTTGCTGGATAATAAATTAATAATTTAAGGAGAAATTGAAGGTTAATCATTATGAGGAGGTGGAGGGTGGAAGAAGGGTGGTAAGCCAATTTATTTGTCATTATTGTGCCTTAAGCTCTGAGGTATCGGAGGAATTTAAAATTTTTTAAGAATTATACATTACATGATACTGCGAGTCTAAGTTAGAAAGAAAATTTTACATCGTCTAAAAGCGATGACTGATCTTTTGACCGTAGAAATAATTTTAAACAACTAAGAATTTGTTTTATGACCTAACGATCAAAGGAATTTGAAATAATGACATTTCAGACTGATTGGGAAATATCACGCGTGTTTTTATATGGATATAATCAGACCTCATTCCAGAAATGACTCGTCGTTTGATAACAGCATTGCAGTCTAGTCGGAAAACATCACGCACGTAATGCGTGGAAAATCTGAAGGGCTTTTAAGTTCAGGGTGAAAGGTTATCAAAACCTGATGATTGGATATCTAACGATACCATCCAGTCAGACATCTCTCGTCTCCTAGCTTATCACCTCAATTAGGAGGTATATAACAAATCACTTGGGCACAAAAGCGGTCATGCTCAATAATTGCTTATTACCCTGATGGGATGATACAGGGTAAATATCATTTACACCGGCGCTAACGGGCTCTCCTGTACATGGTAACAGAATGCCGAATAATTCGATTATTAAAGACAATTTCCGATGGCGTATTCTTCTCTTCGTAAGCTTTAAAAATATCCAGTTCAATGCACTTAGATAAAATGTAAATTATTTCCCTTCCTACCCTAAACACGATTTCGAAGTCCATTTATTGTTTACATATATAGAGATACACAAGACATTGCGTAACTCTCAACCCCCCCCTGGGACGGGAGGGGAGGGAGTGGGGAGAATCGAGTTACAGTTGAATTGTTGGATTGTAATTGCAAAAGAGGAAGGCTAAGAAATTCAGGCGGAAACGACATAGTGTAGAACGTACGGCTTGAATTATGTCAGAGGCTTAGACAGAGATAACCGAGAAAAGTTGAGAAATTAGGATGTTTTTCCAACTTCTCTAGACACTCAAGAATTTAGGGATATCAGAGATGAAAAAAAAACATTTCTTGTTTACCCTGAAGGTCATTTTGTTGACATTTTACTCAGTTGCCGGCCACAATCCAATTAGGTGTTTTTTTTGTTTACATACAATAGCAATGATAGCAGTCACTTTTAAAGTTTGACGTTCGAGAATATTCAGCATTTGAAAGCTCAAATGCTGCGTCTGAAAATTGATGGTTAAGTTTGACAGCGACATTGTCGTAGTTGTGTTGTTTTTAACAGGAAATTTTCACCACTGTAAAAAGTTTCTCGTTCTATCTATGGCCTTTGGAGCTGTTTTGGTATCATTTAGTAGAATTGGTGACTTTCAAGCTCTTTGTTTTTCAGATTTCTCTTTTGTTCCGTTTTACTCGGTTTTCTCTTTTACCTTTGATCGGCTTAAAAACCTAACACTGAAGTGGATAAGTTTATAGCTGAAAAATTGAAGTCGTCTTGATCTGATCGATTGGATGTGAAGTTAATTCCCACAAAGGGCATCAAAATATTATCAGAACCCATTTAGTCTTTTCGCTATTAGCGGATCAATACTATTATTAATTTGTCTAAAGAGCTGGGAAGGTTTAAGAGGAGGTCGTATTTGAATTAAAGACGACCCACAGATAGCTGTACCCTGTA